GTCCTGAACTGCAAATATTCTTATCAGTCCAAGATCCTTTTCATCAGGGTTTCTCTACACTCAATCAGTTTTTCAACCATTTTAAAACACTTTCTAATATTCTTCCCATCCCTAGTGTATCTTACCTCTCCTTCAGCTGCTAGTTGTTAGCTAGAGGTTCAGAAGAAGTTGAGCAGCCAGTAAAGGAAGAAGAGAAGTAGAGACAGAGAGAAAGAGAACTATCACCCTAAGCTCCTGCTTCTCTCTTTACCTATGATCTTCTAAAGCAGCCTTCTCCCATTGTGCCTGCTGGATTTGTTGGACTGCAACACACATTATTCACCCAGCTAGCATGTTAGTTGACTGGGTGGCTGTGAAGTTGACTTGTAGTTCAACCACAGGCCACTCTCCCTATTTCCAGGAGATTTTTGGATTTATTGTCAGTCAAGGGCTTGGGGTCTACATGGATGCTGTTCCATGTAGTGGTAGTAATGGTTGGTAATAATGTTCTACTAGGTCAGTGTGGTGTAGCGGTTTGAGTGTTGGACTGAGACTCAGGAGTCAAGGGTTCGATTCCTCACTCAGCCATGAAACACACTGGGTGATTTGGCCGAGTCACACGCTCTCAGCAATGGCAAACCCCCTCTGAAGAAATCTTCAGTCCCTCTCAAAGTGGCCACACAGAGTGAAAGGACATCATTTCCTATTGCCATTTTGAGAAGGGCTGCAAAGGAAAATGGAGATATTGGGGTTTGCTGGGGCAGGAGTGGCCCTTGGTCTCCATGCGGTTACCTGCTTATATCTACACTCATAAAGGTGATACAATCATGGTGCTGCAGCTGCTGCTGCTTCTGAATACCAGTGTTACATAACCAGTGGTGTATCTGCCATCATGCTTGCTTCTTGTCTCCTTGTGCAATGGGGAAGCCACAGCTTTTTCTGCAATCCCAGTAAATTAAACTGTATAAGGACAGCACTGATGACTAGTTCTGCATGGTTGGAATCCTGTTGGTTCTTCTCAACCATTGAATCAGTTGTTGAAAGGTGAATCAGCCTGTAGGTAAATCTCATTGATTCTGTGAGTTTATTTTAGTTGGTACTAAGAATAGGATTTAGAGCAGTGATTCCCAAACTCTGGCCTTCCATGTGTTGTGGACTTCAGCTCCCAGAATTCCAGACTATTGGCCAAGAGGTTGATGCTTCTGGGAGCTGAAGTCCAAAACATCTGGAGTACCAGAGTATGGGAATCATTGATTTAGATGGTTACAGTTGTGGGACTCTGTGGAACAGTTAGAGTTATGGGACTTTCCTTATCCAGTTATGAACTGAATGCCTCCATTGTACAATGGCCAAAAAAGTATAATTGCATGTGTAAGGAAAATTACAGAGGTGAATGACACCAAGAAGATTCCATTATTATTATTATTACGCTTTATTTATATAGCGCTGTAGATTTACACAGTGCTGTACATACGGTCAGTAAAATAGATTAAAAAATATAAAGAAAGCCTGCCAGTGGCATACATTCTACAAAATACATATTAATACAAAGAAGGAAACAAATTACAAACATCAAATAATCATCATGCCATGCATCCATTATATGAGCACATTCAAAAATAGGCAGGGACTGTCGCATTATAGCTTCTTGACCTGTTGCAAAGGTGCCACCAGGGGACCTTGGGGACTTGGGATAAGTCCACACTGTTGCTCTTCTCCCAGCCAGCATCATCCACACAGTTTCTGAGAGATGGGATGCTGGTTTGGGGAGAGTGATATTACCCCTAAACCTATCCTGTTGGTAGTCAATCCTTTATGACTTAATGGGCGGGATGCTAGTTTGGTGAGACTGATATTACCCTACACCCATCCTTTTGGTGTATCTGACTTAATATTGACCATATGGTGGCTTCTCTGACAAAAGAAGGATCCTTTAGCAGAAAGCGAAGATTGGACAAATGCAGCTCAGCCAGGAGCTTCTGATCAGAGACGTGAGCACTTTTTGTCTGCTGTGTTTGCCAAGGGGGCATGTTGAATCTCCACACATCAGCACTCAGAGCAGTTCTGCTGAGCTGTGCTATTTCACAAGATTGAATGGCAGGTGTTGATTTTCATGCAGGTGGTAAGGTTGTTAAGGCTGCTGCAGTACTGCCTGTTGCAAAGTAATAGAACCCCTTCCCCCCAAAAAAGTAGATACCTGCCCCAGGGAGCAAACACTCAACTTTTCAACAATGGAAGAGACTATAAGGGAAAGGGAGTTGTAAGAGTCACAAATAGAGGTACAGGAAAAATGAGCTTAAAGGGATCTGGCAGTGATCTTCTTTTTTACAAAGGGGTTTGAGGATAATAGAGTAAAGGACAGAATAGGAGAATTTCAGCATAGAATAAGTAAAGAGATAGTACACGAATACATGGTTAATCTAAATGAATATAAGTCTCCAGGACGAGACGAATTACATCCAATGGTACTAAAAGAACTGGCAAATGTAATATCGGAA